TGTTTACAGCTGAGTAATTCCGAGAAAAGGAAAGGAAGGGAAGAATACGTACGGTGTGGTTGGATTTGTACCAGTCGCCGATGAGGACGGTGTAGTCGCCGGCGGGTTCAGGGAAGGGGACTGGAATCCTTGGTCTGCTCAGAATCCTGATGCCTCCGAAACCACCGGCGGCTTTGTGAAAGGCAAGCGATGGGAAGTAGTAGAAGCTCCCAATCTGATCCTTCACTTGCAGAATGAATGTGAAGTTCTTCCCTTTTGGGATCGGACATGTCGTCCCCTCCACACCATCCTCGTACGAGCTCCTTCTGTTTTGAACCCCATTCCTGTTTTTCCCATTATTCTCGCATTAATCTCCCCCAAATTCACATTCAATTTAATCCTAACTCCTTTTTCCTCATAATAGTGCCCATTTAGTGGAGGTATTGTAATACCATACAAACAAGTCTTAAACTTTGCAAGTGGAAATACGTCAAATCATGCCCTATCATTCCCGGCAGTAACTTACAAGAGACCAATCAGCAACAAAACAGAACATTCGTATTTGGACGTAAAACTACAGGGACAGAGTTATTTAATAATTGGGATCTATGAGGCCAGATCCAGATCGATCCGTGTTCACACATTGGATGTCTAAGTATTGTGATTAGTCGTAATCATGCGACTAGACCAACATTCGAAATGAATTGAGAGGGAAACAAGAACCTATAACACAAGTCTCTGACGTACATTCTGCTCAATACGAATCTAGGCCACTTATTGCAAAATGATATAAATGGATCAGGATTCAGGAATCACATAATAGCTTGGGTTTATGTCTATTTGGAAGTGAGAGTTATGACTAAAAGCATGAAGGAGATCAGAAGAACAGGAAAAAGCGTACCAGGAGAGAAGAAAAGGTTCGTCCAAGTTGTTGAAGACATTGACAATGAGATTGTCATTGGTGACAGAATGAATATCTGGACCCGGGAACTGTCCGTTGATGAGTATCCCCTGCAACAAATAACCACATACCGTGTCAAATGGATCAAGCAAAAGCGAAACTCCAGATAGAGAGGCGTATTTATAAATTAGTATGTACCCTCTGACGAACACCAAGAGGATAGATGTCACCGTAAGTAACATTCCAGTTGAAGAATCTGTAGGGATCTTCCGCCGCCGTAATGGAGATCAGAAACAAGAGCACGACCCCGACGCCACCTCTTGCCGCCATAGCGGATGCCATTCTCTCTCTCTATGGCGTGTTTGCTTGCCGTAGATAGTGAACACGAGAGTCTAATAAAGGCGAAGGTAAATGATTAGGGAATAGGGACGGCACACTTCACACAGCACTAGTGACGCATAAGGCGGTGAAGACTGAGTACAAAAGCAGAATAGTTTTTTTCCTCTGGGGGAAGAAATAGGTGTCGGTGGTGGGCTCCTCCATATCAACCTTTATTTTTCTCTCTGTCTCTCTCACATGGCTTAATTCGTTTTCGCGCTTTCATGCTCATCCCTCTCACTGTACCTGTGGGGAAGTGCTAGCTAATTGTGTGTGTTTAAAGTTTAGCATCTCCCGTCTAATAACCCCACATCTATAATATAAACTTGGCTTTACTCTTTTTGCTGCACGCCTACACAAACTGTATGGAACCACCTGAGATTTAACAAGAGGTATGTTCAATGATGAAGGAAGCTCGCTTCATCCGTTTGAAACTTGCAAGGGTCGTGACTATAGCTAATTGGTTGTGCTCATCAGTCAATATAGTGAGTACTTAGCAGCTTGGAAGCAATAATAATAATAATGAAGTTGAAATGGGGAAGGGGTGGCTGGGGTGGTAAATGATGAGTAAAGGAATTAAATATGATAGGTATAGTTTTAAATTATGAATAAGAGAAGACTTAGGGGGGCATTCGGGAGTGTGTTGATCTGACTTAGAAATGCAGAGTGCGCACATGAATGAGCGGGGGATTTTGTCAGAGAAAAGAGTAGTGTGGCACTAGGCACATGGATTCAACAATCAACAACTGTGGCCCTCCTTCCCTATGTACGGGATTTCGTCCATTCTACTCTCACGTGCATATCATTACAAACCATGCTTATCTTCCCCCACCCCTGCTTTTATATTAATTATTCATACTATGTAGTAATCGGATCTATTTCTGAACCCACCCGAATAATTATTTGTTTTTCGTAAAACCAGTGGCCAGTGGCGACCTCCCCAGTTGCGACCAAGGGAAACCATAACGCAGAGCAGCTAGATTCAAATGCAGAAACAATGCTGTTTTATCCTTTTTGTTTTTTTTAATAAACCAGAAACAAACAAAGTTAAAACACCTAAAGAAAAACACACACACGCAGAGAACTAGCCAATGGCTGGAGCCTGGAGAGAAACATGCAGGCCTATTAACATGTCATTCTCGTCTTCGACCATCAATCTGACAAGCTTGGGCGTGGGAAGTCCTTTTACTATTATTACTGGACACAGGAACAGAAATATTGTTTAAATCGGTTAATAAGAGCACTATATTCTTTTCTCTTTTTTTCCCCTCCGACCATGGGCCGATATCCTGTGGCAGTGCTATGAAATCATTTGATTCATGCCGCAGGTATGCAACTCACGTCACATGTCAATGATCTTAACTGTTCAGTAGGAATTATATAGAGCAATTCATCCATTATTAAACATTCAGAAAACGAACCAACCGTTAATAATATCTTCCACAATAAAAGCAATTATTTTTTAATTCGTTGCCCGGTTATAAAAAGGTTGTAATGGTCGCAACTTACCACCGAGGTCTCCGTTAGCCACACAACTGCATAGACTAAGACGTGGGTTGGGGGGGGGGTGCGTGTCTTCTTAAAAAAAAAAAAAAAGGCATGCAATACGACGTTGACTTTGAGACTTTATTCGATGCTAAACAGAGAAAGTTGTCATTCTGAGCAGCATCATATTTTGTCATCTTCACATGAATTGAACGGTATGTGTCATTATCGCATTCTGTGCACAGCATCGGATCTGATCAGAACACATCCAGCGGCATAAAAGGATAGACTAAGCTTAAGGTTCCGTTTGGAATGAGAAAAAATAAAAGAAAAAAGAAAAAAATTTAAAAAAAGCTTTTAATTTATTATTTTTTATATTACTTCTCTTTATTAAAATTTTAAAATCCCACTTCTTTAATTTTTTAAATGAAGTTTGTTAAAATTTTCTTTCCCCTTCCCACCCTTCTATTTCCTTCATGCCAAACATACCTAAGGCTTTACATATCCATTCAAGCCTCCCCCTTTCTTTTTCGAGCCTCTGTGAATTGACTGCCCCTGCATCGTCCGCGAATTATACGACATCATAAACCTCGGACGATTTTAAATTAAATTCAGAATAAACTGATCGCCAGTTAGAATAAGACAAAAAGTTAGCAAGGGAAAATATTTGACAAGTGCCAAAAGGATTGTTAAAATAATTTTGAATATTAAAAATACATGTGCCATGGGCACATGACGCTCATATCATACGGGCAAGTCCGTTCTAAAATGTACCATCGAACACAAAGTGAACAAAAAGGAGTCGCACGAACATACTCTGCCATCTTTTTTTGGGGATAACTTCCATATTTTTTAATATTGAATACCAATATACTTGTATCTTTAATTTGTACGAACGCTCGACAATATTTGGAGGCCTATGTAAGATCCAATTTCTATTACACGCCGAATCATCATCTCCTATTCAGCATCCGCCAGATATCAGACTATGAAGATGGATTTTCAACGTCACGTATTTTTGAATCCCCAGCCCAAAGTGATCTTAGTTACGCTCATCAGAACATTCCTCCTCTAATGTCTTCCCAATAAGCGATTGTGGAGGCTTTGTTATGCTTCTTAATTCGATTTGCCACGCGGGGGAAGACTGGGAATGGAAGGGATCACAGGTTGAGTCCAATTGCCGGCCCAACTGTAACCCATATCAGCATCAGGATTTTAAAAGTAGCTCCAGGACGATGTGGACTAATAACACAACCAGCATATAAACAACTTTCTTAAGTTACGAGTCCCATTTTTAACAGATTGCACCAGCTTTTACAACTGAAATAATGAGCTCAGATTCCTAGCGAAGTAGTAAATCAATGTTACAGGCTCTATAGGCCAAAAACTTCATAAAACTGCAAAACGAGGAAAAGCTTCCCTCCCTCCCACCAAGCCCCCATCTCACCCTGCTTGCAGTATGAATCAGACTCCAAATATACGAAGATAACACCCTTCCAGTTTTGGGTGGCTCAATTCAATCAAAGTAACATTTTTATACTGACGAAAGAAACCATCATTGCATAGCTAGAATTACAAAGCTCAAGGGTAAAGAATTTTAAGACAGCTTAGGAAGGAGGAGTTAATTCCACAAATTCATAACAGATCCAAATTAACGTATGGGCCAAAAAAATCCAAATCAGCATGATATATGATTATTAGACAAAATCATGCATCAAAACTTCAGATTTATCAAACGAAAATCAAAAGCTAAACACTAAGAAGAACAGAACACTGGAATCTATCTTTCAACGTGATGAGAAGCATTGCTTAGCAACCAATTTCCAAATTATTCAAAACAGTCAGATAGAAAAACAGAAAGCAGGCACCTCAGCTTCAAGTACTAACAAGTTTTATCGTATATCAGAAAATCCAAATCCCAAAATTCAATTTCTATGAGTTAAGAGTGAAAACAATATGGTGAAGTCTAAATTTTGTTATTTTCATAGAATACAAATCCAAAAGGGTTTTAAATTTTTTTCATAGACATGATTCGAAGGCAGAGTGATCCAAATCCCGTAGGAATTCTTAGAATGCCAAGGAACCAGGATACATAATGCTGAAGCCCTCTTCGACAGGGACAATAGATGATCGTCCAAGGGTTAAAACCTAGTCGAATCGAGCTTGGGCAATCACGCTTAAACAACCAGAACTTCGTCACTTGGACGATAATTATCCCAAGAGCTTGGCATCAGAGAAAACCAGATAGTATTTTTTTGGGGGGAAAAATAGAAATTTATAACTGATTTGGTCATTGGAAATAAGGAGGTCAATGAATTCTAATCAACTTCACACAGCAAAAGAACAGTGAATCAGGGGGCAGAGGGTTTCTGAATGTCAATGGACTTCACTTCGTTGATTCGTAACACATGAAAACATAGCCCATACTCAGATTGAAGTCGTAGTGTGATAATACGTAAGAAAAATTTGAAACCTGTATCCTATGATTAATCTTCTTCGTCGAAAAGAAGACGAAGGCGAGAAGCAAAGAGGCCGGTAGAGTCAAGGGAAGCTTCGTGAAGTAGTGCACTCTTAATGTTTTTCCTGCGCTCGGAGAGTGACTCTTGCTCCTCCTTAAGCTTATGAGTATCCTCCTGGAGATCATGGATCCGGTACTTTTGCCCCAAAGATCTGCAGCTCAGAAGAAAAATTCCCGTCATGGCCGCCAATTGAATGAAGCTGTGCTTGTGTTTCTTCGCGTTGTTTATGAACCCTGAAATTATCTTAAATTTCCGATTGGCGTCGGCGCCGCCCGAGCTCTGTGAAGTCGACGAATAACCCATGGAGAAGTTGGATCACGCGCGCTTCGATCACCCCGTTAATCCGCAGGAGATAGCAGCGAGCGGGTTATAAGCCCTGGGTGAAAAGTGAAAACGCCCCCGACCAATGAAATGAAGAGAACTAATTCAACAACGGATTTTGTTTTAATGCAAGAAGCCTTTTATTTAAATTGACACAAAAATAATTAATAAATAAACAACGGACTCAAATTTTCTATTGTTATATAGGTTCTGTTTTAATAGTACTAAGAAACACTTATAAACATGTTTTATGTATATCGAGACAGAATTCTTATCATTTATATATTTTATATTCTATAAATTATAATTAAAAAATTACTTATAAGTTATTTTAAACAGATTTTTAATTGATAGGTAAGGAAGTGCCTCTACAAAATTCTAGAGACAAGTGATACATAAGAAATGTAACGAATGACCCCATCATAAAATTAAAAATAACTGCATATTTGTAAACGCACGATGGCGATCTAGATCTTTACGGCACAACCTCTTTGGCGTCATTTTTGTAACAGTGAACTTTAGCCTTCTTTTATCATTTTTTTTTTCATTTAAAAGGACGTACGTACGAACGAATCCCAGGATCAAAGATTACAAAGCCATTGGCTCTTCTTTTATCGTCGGATTTATATTGGATGCTCATCAGTTTTGATGAGCACCCAATGCTTATCAGATCTGAACCGTCCAGATCTGATCTCGATGGTCCAGATTTTTTTTTTAAAAATAATTATTTTAATAAGTATAGGATAAAAAATAAAGATAATTTCTTAACTATCATTCTTTAAAAATATAATTTTTTTTATTTTAAAATAATTATTTAATAATATTAAATTTGAACCGTCCAAATCTAATGTGGACGGTCCAGATTGCTCATTAAGTGATGAATACCGAATGGGGACCCATCTTGTAACATGAGAAATCACTCAATGCTTATGCACTTCTGAGGATGATGGAGGACCATGGTATAAAAAGAAGAGGATGGAGCTATAATCTATTGCCGTACAACTGCAAATGCACTTGATGCTCCAGTGAAGTATTGTGTGGCTGAGACAATAGTTTCCTTGGACGATCCGAAGTGTCTCAGTCTGTATACTCCAGAAACAACATCATTGGGTATTTCCCATTCTATTGTTGCTAAGCCATTTAAATGAAAGGAGCTACTATCCAATTTCCACTTGAAAAACAAGCTCAAGTCATCGTCATCATAAACACTAATCCACCTTTCTCCTTCCAGTCTTTCTACAGCTGAAAACGTGCCTTCTGTTAATAAATCGTTCCTTGGATTCCCACTCCAGAAAGTGGCACTGACTCTTTCTCCTTTTGTAAAATAGCCTCTACCAGGAAGGGCCCTGTCTTCCTTAATATCACCAAATCTTGTCTTGTCGGGTATTGAATCTCCCAAAGGTCCAGGTAAGAGACTGATTTGTACAGATGAAAGATCTGGTGGTGAGGGACCTGGTCCTGTGATTCCCTCCCCTTTTGCCATTGCTTGTGCTAGTTTCTTAAATTCCTGGATGTATGCTGATAATGTATGAGGTCCATATAACGTTGAAGCAGCCTGCAAACTTCACTCGTTAATTATGGACTCACATACAAGTCACATGTATCTTCCTCGTAGCTCATTGAAGTTACCTCGTAACGTTGCTGCTCATATTCTTCAAAAGTTGCAATATACTGGGAATAAGTATTAGTGAGGCCTGCAATAACTACGTGTGTTTCATTATTAAACTCGCCGTTTCCGTTGCTTATTAATGTTTCCAAGACTGCCTCCCTCAGCCGTCTGCCCGACATTGTTGTGAACTCTGCAGTACTCAAAACTCAACATTAACAACTCATGTTCAAGCCCTGTTCTTTGGCTAGGCATACAAGCTGATCTGTCAATTTCAAAATTTTACTTTCAAATTTCAATGAGAACATAATTGAACAAAGCAAACCTCCTGGTACTGACAAAATGATCAGTTTCCCCAGCCTTAGAATTTGGATTGGAAGAATTGCTGGCTGCACAAGCACATATTTATATGGCCAGCAATACTGATTAGTAACTTAATCCTTTCGTGTTATTGCTTTAACTGACAGATAGGTGTTGGCCTTACCGCCCATGCATAAGGATCAAACATCTCACCCGCGCTCATCAAAACTGGCTTTGGCTTTTGGCATTCCACTTGGTACTGGCTTGGCTGCATTTTTAGCACATCTCTCAAGTTCTTCCAAAGAGGATTAATCTGCAGAGACGGATGGTTGTTAATAGATATCCAAATAATAATGGGTTCATTCTCAGATATGGTAATGGAAGGTCTTGAATCAGATATGGTAATGGAATCACAACTTGGACGCAAAATGAGAAATAAGGACCATGGGTTTACCTCAGTGTCACCTTGTTGAAATCCAAATACACCAGGGCCATCGGTTGTGCCAGCAGCAAAACCAGCACCCACAGCGGCAGGACAAGTTTTAACAACCTTGTTGCCTTCCAGCTTAACCTCAATATTCGTGAAGTTGAGATACACATGACGATAATCAATGTCCCCACTCAATTTCTCTGATGCAGAAGTAAAGAGATCCACTGCAGTTTTAAACTGCCTCTCACCTATGATCTTCGTGCTTAATATTTCATCAGGATAACTGTTTGTTTTGGATAAAACAATTATACAAATTGTGAGCACGTGTATATATCATCCAATGTATTCCACAAACAAGCATGAAAATGAAGTGGCTGTTATAAGTGAGTACCCTGGTCCTCTGCCAACACAAAGCTGGTCATTGCCATGGCATGAAGAGCGATTAAAGTCGCAAGGTTGTCCACTATCAATGCAAAATGCACCAAGCACATTTGGTGTCACATCTCCAACATTTGATTGGCAAAATGCTCCCACAAATAAATCTCCTTCCTTCTTCCTCACTTTGGACGCTTGACTACTTTGCTTCTCACAAGCCTTTCCTCCAGTCGCTTTGATTGTTTTCGCTTTCTCCACCAACTTCTCAATATCTATATCACATGCGCGTTGCCCAGAAGAATTGAAGTCAGATAATTGAGCAGAAACAGAGTAGTGGATGAAGCTGAACATACCAGGTGGCGAAGTAGAGTTGGTGTTGGAGGAAGAAGACGAAGAAGCAAACCAATCTTCAAAGAGCCTAGAAGCTGCACCCTTGTTGTCTCCACTTATGAGCTTGTTGTTTCTGCTCATAGAAGTGCCGTGAGTGGCAAACCAGTTGAACATTCCAACACTTTTTCCGGTTGAAGCATCAACGAACTTGAGTAGTGTCATTTCCGTATCAACATTGGAAGAATACCGAGCTCTCTCCTCTGCTGGGTTTAACAGATACGCGCTCGGGCTCCTATTAATTCCCGCGTCCTTCACCTCTCCTGCACCAAACCCATCATACAACCTAACCTAAAACCACAAGCTTTGAACTGTGTGCGTCTAACACACACACTTACTCACACACACATAATGCGCACCTTTGTTGATAAAGATAGAACCAGGCTTGACGTTATTGTGCGCCTGAATAATGCTCTGTTCTATTGCGTTCACAATGACATCAAATGATTGTCGTACAAATCCCAAGGAGGTTGCTGAGTAAAGAAGGTATTGGAGATAACCGCCAGGTCCAGCGTGTGAATGAATTCCGCTAATAGCTACGTTTTCTTGGGTATACAAATTTCCGAACCTAAAACAACAAACAAGATTAGATAGATATGCATATATATGAATGAATTAGTCATGACCACGCAAAAAAAAAAAAAAAAAGGATGGATTAATGGCTTGGGTTGGTTGAGACTATTGTACCTTGACTTGAGTCTTTCAAGCACTTTAATAGTGATGAGCTGGGATGCCATACAGGCATCAAGATTGACAAAAACAAACCTGGGACCTTGATTCTGATGAGCGACGATGAAAGTTCTGGCTCTTAGTCGGAAATGAATGCCAGCCGAGTTCTGGTCCAGATTGCCGTAACCCATCATGTTGACGTGGGCCGCCGGACCAGTCATGTCATAGCTTCCAACTCCGATTAAGAACTCACCAACATCACCGTCTATGCCTCGTATCCAATTCCAGGCACATACTAACAGTAAAGCAATAAGTAGTGCCTTCGGTTGCATTTTTTGTCGCTCTTTCCCTCTTGCATTCCTTCAAGTCTCGTTATATATGCATGGTGTGATCAGAATTTCTTGGATTCTGATGAAGTTTTCTTGAACATCCAATGCTTTTTCTTGCTCGTTTTCCTTAGGTTACAGCGTATCCATGTAGCAAAGCGACAGACTAGGTATTCTTCTGTTTGTCTGTAGCCCCTGTAAATGCATGTACTCAGCCGCCATATGGGCCTTTTGTTCAATTCCACTAACCAACAAAAAAAAAAAATTAACGTGGTTTATATTGCGTCCATCGTAGCAATGGTCGCTACGTGCCATATCTGAGTTCCACGTTGCTTCCTTGACTTCGTAAAAACCGATGCTTGGCCCATCAAACACACACGCACACAAATCTGCTTGGTCATTCGTTATTGTCTCATTGTCCCTTGCTTCTTTCTGATTGCGCCACACACACAAATCTGCTTGGTCATTCGTTGGTGTCTCATTGTCCCTTGCTTCTTTCTGATTGCGCTCTGTCAAGCAACTTGGAGAACGGGACATCAGGCACAATCTCACAGAGAAGGCATTTAGGCTAAAGGGCAAAGGGTGAGAAAAAATCCAAAGAGATATTCTCTGGGGGAGCATATCTTTCTTGTTCTCCTATTTATGTCAGCAAAGCTTTCTCCTTTGCAGTTTGACTCAGGTTAACTAGTCAAGAAGCGAGTTGCTGTTTACTGCTACATGCTTATGACTTTGAATGAATCTTCTTGCTAATAATTTCTGTTCTTTCTACTTTATTAATGTGATCTTGTTAAATTCATGTAGATATACACGAGTTGCAGTAGACGATTTGGCGTGTTCTCTTCGCTTGTTTATTCTGTCGGAAAGCTATCATAACCCAATATGAGAAAATACGAACAGCGGAAATGATAACGCAGAAAGTTGCTCAAGCGGCCGAGAGAGATGGAACAATTGGCGAGATGACAGGTCAAGTGAAACTGCTTGCACGCATACATATAAATGCACCCTTCAGATTTATTTCCGTAACTCCCATCATATGATTTACGTTGAGAATTCGAGAAATCCTGATTCTTACTGGGAGGCAAGGCAGCATTTTTTTGAATCTACTCACAGAGATTTTTTAGGAATTTCTCCTAAAACACTGAAAGGTTAAAATCAATTGGGAAGGTCCATTCGGTCTTCGCCAAATTTAGTAATTAGAAATACAATTTCTTTTTATTAAATATTGTGCAATGAAAGTAGCTAAATGTCATGTTCATTCCGTAGCTCCATTTCATTAGGTCGAATTAGGATTAGAAGATTCCTTGCGGGAAATCCCCAGTTCCTAACCTAGCGTTTTCCTTTTAATTTTCTTGGTTTTAGTGGAGCGTGTGAGGTCATTAACCGCGTTGCGGTGGATCAACTGGGTTTTGTTATTAGAACTAAGCACTATGTCAGCCTCAGGAATCTTACAAGAAGAAAAGCAGGTATCTTGCAAAAAGAAAAGCCACATCCGGAAACTTATAATACAATTTTCTAATCGTGACTTACAGAATATGAATTAAGTATATGAAAATTGCACTGCAACTAGGCAAGAATGACAATGCAGCAGCCCGGGTCAAAGAGCTTTACAATATCTCCTCATGGTCCCAATCTGTCTCCCAAAAGTTAACTGCCAGATAACAACTACCGGATAGGAGACGTAGTTTTTTTTTTTTTTGGTCAAAAGATAGGAGACGTAGTTTGAATGAGTTTATCATTTTTATTTTAAAAAAACTATACAATGCTCATTCTGTACAAGAAATAGAGATCCAAAGCAGGGAATCAAAAACTCAAAAACACGCCCATATCAGTGAGTTTTTAGGTGTTCAATTCAAAGGTTGGTTGTGTTGTAAATGTGCAAGGGATGTAAAAACTACGAGAGCTTCTTCGTTTGCTTAAAAACAAAAAGAAAAAGGGGGGGGGATTCTACTCCATTCAGAAAGTCAAGTGATCATATAAACCATAATAATCCACAACGATATATTTATTCGAATGAACTATAGATCTTCAGAGTTTACAAGGTAACCGATAATTAAGTGCAAAAGATCGGGATCTGGTCCCCATTCATCCGTTTTGTAACGCCCATGAGTTGTGTCACGCCCGAACTCGATAAAAATCATAAACAGAAGGCATAACGAGACAGCCCAAATATATAGAAAAATAAACATGAGTGGTCTGTCTATCCATATAAAATACACGAAAAGCTCCAAACTTTGATAGATGATATATGGAAAAGAAAGGAAGAAATTTAGAGAAACTTGATATATAGTGAAGGTATATATAGAGTTTCAGCTTTCTAGAAATACACACCACAAAAAAAACAAAAGAAGACAGTCTGAAAAACGAAGAAAGCACGCAGTAAAGATGACATATGGCGGGAACAGAAGATGAAAGAGGCCTCAATCACAACAAGCAGCGCCCTCCTTCTTCTTTGTTTTCGTCTGTCTTAGTGATGACCAGGAAGTTTTTCTTTGATCTTCTCCAAGAAACCCTTCTTTTCCCCCTCCTCGCCGGTCGGTGGTTGAGAAGAAGTAGGAGGAGGAGGAGGAGGGACCTCCTCCTGTGTCTTCTCCGCATGCTGACCTGGCAGCTTCTCCTTGATCTTGTCCATCAGCCCCTTCTTCTCCTCCCCCTCAGCTGCCGTTTCCCCTGCTTTCTTCTTCTCCTTCTTCTTCTTCCTCTTCACGCCATCTTCTCCTACTTCTTCCTCTTCGCTCGACGACTATACACACACACATATATATATAATCAGCTGAGTTAGTTAAGAGTGCTCTCACTACTCAACTTAACGCGAATCATAAAGAAGATCAACATATATACTTACGGAGCTAGATGAGTTGGATCGATGAAGCTTCTCCAACAAACCGGGCTTCTGATCAGACTTCTCTTCCTTTTTCTTCCCAGAAAAATCAAAAAGCCCACGGTCCTGGGTCTCCACCTCAGTCGTCTTCTGCTGATTCTCCTCCGCCATGTTTGAAAGATACTCTCAGGAAGTAGCTTGCCTTGCACTTAGCGGTACTCCAAGTTCGCTCTCTCTATGCAACTGATGATGAACTGGGGGTCCAAGTAGGGAGATTTATAGTTCGCAAAACGCGGATATGACGCTGCTCAGATTCAAAAAAATATTTGGTGTAACCGACGTGTCGATTAAGATAAGGGGAAATTAAAACCAGGGATGTGATCCCATCACTTTAAACTGTTAAACTAATATTGATCTCACGTTCCGTGCTTCCACTTGGAGTCGCTGTCATTGATGGACACCGCAAATATCGGCTCTGAACAGGCGACGAGTTCCCTGCTGTTGGAAGCAGGTGTACCAATCACGTAAGCTAGTGATCGAGTGCGCTAAGGAAAGATGATGGAGACACATTCCTGTAGCAGAGCCCATGAGGATCTGACACGTTGATGGGTCGGGTACAGTGGGACCTGAATAAGTTGGCCTCGATAGTCTAATAGGATTAAATTTCGAAAGGTCGGTGGTACCTGAAGACACGTGGCAGAGCGCGGAAGGCTGAGAGACGAGGAGTTTTCGAGAGTTATGTTGGTGACGGTGGGCCTCGGTTGGCCTTTTCCCATGGCATGAGTGCATTATTACTCTGAACAAGATCATGGAATTTGAAGCGTTCTGGTGAAGGTTATTCGTATAGGTTAAAAAACACATAAATACATCTGAATTTTTTTTGATTAAATTTTTATTTGAAACAATCCTATTTAAAATACTAATAAACATTAAATATAAATACCTCTCTCAATAGGATTTAAATCTTGATTCACTAATATTATAAAGGATTAGCTTCTTCTATTAAACCCAACTCCTGGTAGTACATCTGAAATTTTTTATTCAGTATATATAAAATAGAAAATTTTTAACCCCATGGTTCCATATGGGCTTATGACAAGGCATCATATTATTTCGTATAAATTCTAAAATTAAAAAAAAATACTTTGTTAGGTGTTGATTTGATTGTTTTTTAACTACATCCATACTACTTCATTTCATTGTTAGTTTTACAGATATTAGTATGTTAATGTAAATGCACTTAAATTAATAGATATAGTCATCGATTAAATAGATAATAATAGTTGGGGAAAAATAGATAATAATAAGTAAAAATCGCAACAAAAAAAAAAGATTTTAAAAGCAGAAAAATTGCAAATAATGTTATCACATAAGAAAATAATTAATGAGCAAATAACAAGTTGTGATGATAAATCTTTGTGTGTGATTTTTTAATTTTTAGGATTTTTTTTACGATTTATTCTAACAATAAAGTATGCTGGCATTCTATCTCCCTGTTTCCGTTGCTTGAGAAACCCAAATGGCCAAATCAGAAACGTCCCTTCTATCTCTCTCTCTCTCTCTCTCACTATGCACGCACGCATTTATAACTATTCATCCGGTAATGTGTACAGGAGACTTATATTTAAGACTGAAAAAGTATACAATATTAAATACTCATCCGGTTTTTAATATAAGACCTATTTAACTAGTATGATTAAATAAAGAAGTTAGATAAATTAGTTAATTATAATAAATATGACATATTTTTCTAAAACACCATAATCATCTTCCTTAATAACATCTCTCCTCTTTTACTTGATTGTGGTTGAAGAAGTATCCATAGGAATAATTTAAGAAAAATTGATAATTATGAAAAATAAGTATTATATTTAAGACCAAAATCAACTCAATAATTAAGTCTTATATTAAGAACCGAAAGAGTACTAATGATTGAATGAAATTTAAGGAAATATCATGTATCTACATGAACTCAAATTTAAAACCTTGTATTTTTTTTGAGCAAATTAAAACCTTGTATTTAACTAATCACAACTTCTTTCATCAGGATTAATACATGTCGGCAATGTCTATTTTACTTTTTTATGTCATGCTCATAGCATGACCTATATGAGCCTCTTGTTGGGTCACATGTAACACGAAAGATGTTAGGGAACTAAAAGGCTTAAATTCGATTTGACGTTGTTGA